AGACATACAGTCCYTGATTTATTACGTTTATATTTAGCGTTTGACCACACACTTTGCGTGTTCTTGTAATCACTAAAAGTCCAACGAGAGCTGATAAACACGATGTCAATCCGTTATTAACCCTTCAGCTGTAGAGCTTTAACTTAGTCTAGTTTTTACCTAATGACATTTTAACATTGACACGGTCAAGCTGTAACTATATGGCTTCAGTCCACACGTAGATAGCGAAAGTCCAGCGACACCCCATTTTGTACAACGAAGCATTATGGGAGTTGTAGTCCTCGCAATTTTTTTCCAATAAATTCCCTAAAAGCCCTTTTTATGTGTTCTTTATAGAGCAAACCAGGCAACCATACTATTAACTGTTATTATTTTGGGGAGTTCATGTGTCAAGTCCATGAAATTGTTCGTGTATAAGGGCCTGAAAAGGGCGTATATCATTTAAGAAGAGGGTCAGTCATGTTCGGATAATCATGGATTAGTTGTAGCAATGATTAYCAAAAACTTAGTTTAAGGGGAGAATTTCTGAAAAAAACTCGGCCAATTGAATTGAAACGAAAGAAACTGCTAGACTAAGCTCAGGAATGGCGCAATAATATACATCAGAGTTTCATCATCATCAACAACAACAAAGACAACGACAACAAGAACAGCAACAACAACGACAACGAAAACACCACCATCAACAACAACAACAACAAGACTTTTAGTTCGTTAAGTATTCATTTTTTTGGACATTAGATCATGATAACAGGGCAGTCTCTGTCGTAAGTAAATCCGATGCTCATCCTAATTTAGGGCAGAAGTTCAATATGCTTATCGTCTGACTACAAGGGTACTTAGGGCAGGATTAAACACAATTAATACAGTTTTCAACTTTGATTACTAGACTAATAAAGTTTTTTAGTTACTGATGGATTTATTGATTGAGCACGCTTCTCTAATTATAGCTGTGCATGTATTGAATGGAAACTAAACGAGAAAACACATTTTAATGTGTCATCATTTTAATTTTGATGACAACAAAAATGATGACG